ATCCGCGCGAAGCGATCGCGAGAGCGACTGCGAAAATGCAGTGTGGTGTGGTCGTCGCAGTGTGTCGGCGATCGGCCGATGCGATCGGCAGCAGCGCTGCCGCGTTGTTATCGGATAATGCCGTGCGATTCGGCTGCTGCGTTTATCGAGCGGCTCCACTCCGCGCGGAAATAAGACGTCCTAACGAGTAACACGTCCACCGCCGCGGACAACCCGCAATTCGAGCCGGATATAATCTTTCCCTGCTTAATCTCCCGCCGATATGAAAGGATAGAATTTAGATGGGAGGAAGATAGAGCTGACAAGACCGTAATTCCCCATTTAAATTCCGGCAGGAGGAAAAGGTATCTCTACATATACATGTACGTATACAGAGGCAGCCTTCTTCTCCGTAGACAGACGAGAGACGAGAATCCCTCTCTCGTCGTCGTTAATGGTAAACAAACATCCGCGTCGAAAAATTTACATCCGCGTTATTCCAGCACTGTCAACTTGTCGCGTTACGGTAACCGCGTCGCGGGATAAATGTGTCGGCATATGGTGTTCGCAGCGAAGGCCATCGAGAGACGACGCGTCGTTAGTTAGTTCGCGGAAGCTACGCGCTGCGCGCGACTTAACGAATTGCTCGTGCAAATTACCGGCGATTGACAAATCGCTCCGACGATTGGGAAAAACTTGAATGTCGGGAAATACCGCGCAAGAACGCACCCGCGTACACGTGTCATATCACCGTCACTAAAGCGCGGCTAAATCGCGCGCGCGCGAGCACTAGCAATCTGTCCGATGTTTATAACGAGCAAACTTCTATCGCGGGGTCGGAAATGCGAATCGGCTCGAATTGACGACAAATTGATTTCGTGCCTAAAAGATGGCAATCGCTCGGGGTTTTCCCACCTTCGGAAAAGAGTGAGCTCTCGCGACAAAGGCTGAGGCGAGCTGGTTGGGGGAAGGGGAGGGGAAAGGGAGCGTAACACAAGGTGGCGCGGATTGTAGATCGCACGTGGAATTACGGAGCGCGCGCGAGTGCGATGGAAATCATTTCCCGGGAAGTATTCATAATTACGATCGATCGAATATTTATGGAAATGGCGTTCGCTACGCGTACGGGCCGCGCTTTCTCGCTTTAAGCCGATTGCAAAGTTCGCGACGGCGATAGCGGAATTATGGGAAGAAAGCAATAACGACCAAAAAGATTTATGATATTGCACAAAATGTAGAGCCGGCTAATGTCCTTGCCGCGAACTTGCACGCTCCTTCCTACTTTCCACTTCCTCTTTGTATCGTGTGCGCGCGCGTGCACGCAAAAGAGAGCGGAGAGTTTACTAAACACGATAATGCACGTCGTTTTTCTTCTCAAAATGTCGCGTGCGCGCGCGCGCGGCATTATTCTAAAAAGAGGAATAAAAAATAAAAGAACAGGGTCAGTCTATGCTTTTAGAGCGTCCTTGGTCGGCGCTTTTAAAAGGTCTTATTCTCGCGAGAGTCTGAAAGACGCACGACGGTGGCCGCCTGGTACGCTTTCCTCACCTAGTCGTAGCCTTCTACGAGGTGAACCGGCCTCATGCATCAATCACGGTAACAAAACCACGTCAGGATGACGGCGGGCTATTGTCGCTTCTCCGAGGAACTTCGGACCGTTTTTCTGACCTCTCTATTTCGCGTCGCCTAACAACTCAATATAAAACGCCTGGTATCGCGTTTAAGTCACACATTTAGTTTTATTAATTAGTTTAGTAAATTGGACCCGTTGGAGAGAGACAATAGTGTAGAAATGACACGCGAGTCACCATATTCGTGTGAAAATTCATACCCGTTAACTTTTAATATTAAGATCCGGATTATCCGGATAATCCGCATATGCGGACTTGAATGAGCAGATAACATAATTATCCCGTATATATATATACGCATTATTCGAATATGAAATCATTTGAAAATAACATGACGCATAATTATATCAGAGTATCAAAATAGCATATCAATCACATTATATCATAATCATAATATCAATCGTAATAAAATAATGTTATAATATTTCATCAATATCCATTATTTTCATAAATATAGTCATAATCATAGTATAATAGTATTATAATATCTCATCATTATATATTATCATCATTGACATTGATATTGAATATAATCATCATCATTATCATTATAATAACCCGAGTCGAAAATTTGGTTCTACATTAACAGGTTGACTGCAACGCAAATTTCTATTAATAATTTCGCTTAACCAAACTTCGAACAGATGAAGTTACGATAAATAAATAAAATTCATAATATATATTAGTTCTTATTAGTTCGTCACTATTAGCTTTATGATAGCCATACTATATATCTAATTTGTTATATATGCAAATAATTAAACGTGTAAATTAAAGAAACGCAGCAGTATCTCAAGTACGTAATATCGGTCTTTTGTGATCTTTTATCGAATCAACGTGGCAATCAACATGTATTAAAAATTAAATATAGGAAATAAATAAGAAAATATATATACGTGAATAACCAATAAATATTAAATGATATGTTTTTCCCTTAATCTATATTTATTCCTTTTTAATTATGTAAACATTTCAATAAGAAAATTTATAGAAATTTTAAACGGACAAGAGAAAATAAAGAATTGTAGAGATAAAGTTAAAGTCATATATGTCCAAGAACATAGAAGAAGGATAAAGATTTAAATTTTGACTCGGTGCAGTGACAAAGCAAAATTAAAGTGAAACAGTGTCTTGGCAAATTGCACATGAAACATTGCAACTCAAGAGCTATTATATTAGAAGCACTGCGTGACTTTTAGTAGAATCCGAATTTCGACTCGAGTAATATTATAAATGTCGGAGATCAATGCGATTTCTACTCATGCACTATGTAATATAACGCTTCGTGAGCGTTGTGAATTTTATCACTCACTAATAGTCGACAAAATTCATTGATGTCTTGCGCGGTCCAGCGATGTCCAGCCAGGTCTATCACGTCTCCAGTCCAGATACAGTATCCAGGTGCACTTATTTACTTTCGCGTCGCGACGCGACGAGACGCGATAAGTATTCACATTTTAATAACGCGTAATAAATGCGTAATCTCGGTAGTATCGGCGAGATACTTTGACTTATATCGGAACGAAATCTACGAATGTGATCAACGAGATAAAATCGAAATCGAAATATACCAATTCATTTAAAGAATGTCTTCCACATACTTTCATCTTTAAACACATTCGCGAAACAGAGCAACACGATTTGAAAATCGGTCATAATGGTGGCATGAAACGATCAACGTCATACGAAATTTTTTTGCGAAGATAGTTTAGCATACTGTTGCGAAGACAACTCCGCATATTGTTGCGAAGACAACTCCGCATATTGTTGCGAAGACAACTCCGCATATTGTTGCGAAGACAACTCCGCATATTGTTGCGAAGACAACTCCGCATATTGTTGCGAAGACAACTCCGCATATTATTGCGAAGACAACTCCGCATGTTGTTGCGAAGACAACTCCGTATATTGTTGCGAAGTTTATTTCAATTATTCGCGAAGTTAATTTTCGAATTAAATACGAAGAATTTTAACGTAACCGAAAACTTTACTTTTATTTTGAAGGCAAGTGATATGCGAGCAAAGAATAAGCAGAAAGTCGTAACGCAAACGTAAACAAAGAATGGAAACCGTGGCGATCGTAAAGTTTATCATCGCGTATACGAGCAAACTGTAACGAATACTATATAGAATCAGCTGATTGAAAAATTTCTTTAATAAATTTTGACTTTCTCTGATAGTAATGTAATTATTTAATTGGAAATTAACTGGAAATTGGGACACTAATGCAATCAGTTATTTTGTATTTCTTCAACGATACACATTAACGATCTCTACTCGCAAAAAACTGACTTTATTCGCGACGTAAATATACGCGTGAGAAATGTAAACAACATAAACGACCGCGGTAGACGCGGATATTTTTCAAGGGCGAAGTGATCGCAAGTTTCGCTCACGGTGGCGCAATTCTAGTGCGCTTCAATGGAGACGATATAGTCTCGTGTCAAATATGTATAATATGCAATTATATACCAATTGAAGCAACAAGAGGATCGCAGTTTAAACAAATCGATAATTTAAACAAATTATAAGAATGTATAAAATAAAACACTTACATATTATAAAATTTAATTCAACATTACAAGTATTTATTATGCGATATAGATATTTGAAAACACGATCCTCTTACTGCTTCGAGAAAAATCCCACATGCAATAATCAAAATATATCGCATTATCTCCATTAAATTTCATAAAAATCCACCACCTCTCTTCCCGGGGTTTTTTTTTTTAATAAACCCGGCATTAAAAATTTTTAGTTTCATATTAATTTCTTTTCAAATTTGTGACTCACCAACCGACGGAAGTCAGGGCCAGCCACGTTCGGCTACAAGATCTGGAACAGAAAGAAAATATAATTACGTTAGTTATTAAGTAAGGTTAAAAAGACCGTCGCGATCCAAAGAAATGCCGACGAAATCGCACGGTGGAAAAAGTGACACGCACCCGTAGTAATTTAACGATAATATATATTTATCGTATTAAAAAAATCGTGACAAAAACGTAATAAAACAAAAGCGTAAGCGAACCAAGACCGAGAGAAAGAGTGTCTCCTTTTCCTGGTGGTTGCTCTTAAATATTCGTTGCCGAATGGTCCAAGAGACTTCCTCTATTGGTCCACGTTAATGCCAGCGAATAGTATTATTTAAAACGTGATTATCAATGATATATTGTTAAATACTGATCGGAGACTCACGGATAATAACTAACAGTCAGAATAATAGTTTCGGTCACCGAATCTATTCAACTGACATCTGTTTATTTTCCTCGTTTAACTCGTTCTCAATAATCTAACTGTTTCAACATCAAACGTTCCATAGTTCCGACGGAGTTTATCCGCTGTTTACGTTATACTCAAGGATAAAATGTAACAAACGGACGAGGATTAACTCTTTGTGATACGAATCTCATGTTGTTTACATCTCGTTATTTTATAACAAAAGGCTAAAGAAAGCATAGCGAGTCTTGAAACTTACCTTCGAGCTAACCCTGCTCGGCCCGAACCGGATCCTCCGGTGCGGCATTCGCATTTCCAGCTGGCCTCGCAATATGATCCAATCTGAAGCAAAGAAAAGAAAAAGATGCAACTGCATTAATCGTATACAGAGATTCGGATTAACAAACAAACGAACTGAGGCCCTTTGACGTGAAAAATCATACTAACCCTGGATTTACGTCCCGGGTTTCAAGAACAAAGGGCTAAATAGATAAGCGTAGCGTGTCTTTGAGCTTACCTTCGAGTCGACGCTGCTCTGCCCGAACCGGATCCTCCGGTGCGGCATCCGCATTTCCACCAGAACTCCACTTGTCACTCGCGATGTGGGCCAATCCTATCACCGATAATCCTCGCCAGATCTGAAACACAACAGCAGTTTTTCCGATTAGCTAAAATAATAGAGATAGATATTTTGCTCGCGGATGAATCGAGAACACGCGAATTGGAATTCGCTGACGCGAGCTAACGAGAGAACGCGAGATTTGAAACCCTTTGAAATCTCTAATAACAACGGAATGCGATAATTACCATTTCGATGGCGGGGTGCTGCTGCTAATGATATTCCCGGCACACATTAATCGCACGTACCGATTACCGTGATACATCTTACGACCAATTGGACCGATTTAGGGAAGAGAAAGACCGCGCGCGACGCGGAACGAAACGTCTGTCATTGACCGAGACGCTCGAGCGAGTGCGTGTTGTTCCACCGCCGGCGCGAGTTTTACTTTGTTTTGAAACTATTCGACGCACGCTACCTCATAATATCAACATCGTGTACTGTATCCTCTACGCGTGTTGTTTTTTTGTTTTTCCTCGATGTGTTAACCGAAATCGTGCCATCAACGGCTTGAAGTACGAATTTCCAGGGAAAGATATTGAAATGCGCATTTTAATGTAAACGAGAAAAAGTGCTGCGCAAATGATTGAACGGCTGATGAACGGTGACTAACGTGATTTAATAGTGCATTTTGTTTAACTAATGCTCTCATACACACACACACACACGCGCGCGCGCGCGCGCGCACGCACGGGAGGTATGCGCGGCGCGGGAATTCGGCGATAGTCGGACGCGATCGTACGCTGGCACGGGTGATTAATTGCAGGGTTAATTCTTTTTGAGCCGGCGATACACGTACGCGGCCGCGGGGATTCTTTTGATTAAAATTGAAACAAGCCCCGGGTATCAGTCTCTTATTATCCTAGTTAATTCCTCGGTACCGAATGTTCGATTAACCTCGATTCTCCTCTCCTCTCAACTTCCACTTGCCTATTTAGTTCTCGCTAACCCTCAACTGCCATCGTGCGCCGTCTTCTCGTCTCTCTCAATCGTTAATTATCTTAGCTAATGGCATTCTAGGTCAACTGTATCGTCAAATATCTCGAGTATTTCCTGCGAACCGTCCTCTCCCTTAAAGCGACTCTCATAAATTCGCGCACGCGGCGAAAAATGTTTAAAGGTCGCTGGAAAATGTCATCTCTGCAATTACGATCGAGGTGTTATTAATATTTGCACGTGCTCGAATTATATATTAAAAAAAAAGAAAAAAAAATGGATGAAAGTAGCTAAAACGTTCTAATTCGGACAGCTTCCTTTGGGCCTCGATGTTTCGTCGAAGTACCGTTTATAAATGAGGGATTTAAATTTAAGATAACATGTTGCGATTAAACGCGATTAAAACATAAGTGTAATTACGTGTACGACGTGAAAATTTCGATACAGCTATCCGATGCGATCGTGCGCGTGGCGCTCGTACGAGGAGAAAAAAAACGGAATGCGAAAATCGTGCAATTTAATGCCTACACGGTACGTTTTACGCGAGCGCGCGCACGCGCGCGCACGCGCGCGCGATATTCGTTTCTCCTATATTTATAGTACCATTTTTACGTCAAGCATACCGCGCGCGTATATAAATTACGAAACAAAAGTGGCGGAGGGTGCATCGAGCACATCGTTGAAAAGTATTATTATCGCAGAATTCATGGATACATATATATATATATATATATATGTATATTACAATACAGAAGTGGAAAGGTTGATAAAAGGCACAAAATGAATTATGCACGTTCCCGGAGCAACGGCTGCATTTATATGCATTAAAACCGCACTTTCAAACGTGAACAGCATATGTAACGATACGTTTTGCACTAAACGTTCATCGCGTCCTCCTTAAGCACACGAAGCGGCTCATGACTCGATATAATAATACCGTAAGACTTCATCAAGGCCGAGTAATCGCGTGCCATTAGGACACCGATCGTTACAAAAATTAATACGTTCCGCTTTAAGCATAATAACGGGTTTATCGACAACGGCTAACTCCATTCTTCCCATGTGATGAGATCATTTTCATGCACGAGTTCCCGACGTGATTGTCGACAGATGCGCGTATATGAAAATCATTCATTATTTCGAAAATGACGCAAGTACCGCAAGTCATCCCCGTGATATTTACGTGGTACACAAGTGATCCCCCCCCTCCCCTAGCCTCGCGTCCCGTCCACTTGCACACGCACATATGCACACTTTTGTGCGCTGTAGAATCCCGAGAGCGCATTGTACGAGCCGTTTTCCGAAAACACACTCTCCTCTCTCGACTAGCGGCACACGTTTTCCGACGTTCTAATGATTTAGTAGCTCCACCGAGATGGTAAATTAATATGTTCGAGCGGCGAACACGCGTGTGTGCAAACGCCGTTCGTGCAAGAAGAAGAAGGGTGTTCGGCATCTTTATATGCCACGCGCGCGCGAACGCGAGAGAACATTCCACGTCATCATACACGCGCTATTATACGGCGTGAAAATTACAACATGCAGAGCATATCGAACACGCCGGACTCGCGAAGCGACGCACGCACAATGTTGCACACGCGGACTATTGATCCATATTTTCTTGTTTCACGCTGTGATTTACAAGCGCCGCCGGTAGAAACGCCAGAACGGACATTGCCGCCATGGCCGCAGAGGGCCGAAAGACGAATGACGATGCGATCGCATTTTCGACTCTCTCTCTCTCTCTCTCTCTCTCTCTCTCTCTCTCTCTCTCTCTCTCCCTGATTCGCTCGTTCGTTGCACGCAGCTGAATAACGATCATAACTTTCGTATCGAGAGACGCACAAGTTTATGTCATAAATGCAAGTTTTTAATTTCGAACCATTCTGTGCGCGAGCGCCCGATGTAAATCTTCCTATTTCCGGTAGACTTTGCAATCAAAGATAAACGTGCGTGAATAACTTCTCTTCGGGAGTTACATTGTAACGAGAAAATGAATCGCTCGTTCGTCTCACTCGCGCTGTTCGCGCGAGTACGAATAAATGAGAATCAACGAGATACCACCCGCGTAATTCCACGGTGCGGCAGGGATGAAAGGGACAGCGTGATAAAAGGGATTATCTTAGGGGGATATTCTTTCACTGGCGAAACAAGGCGAAAGAGTTATTTTTCAGCGTTCAACAACAATTAGCGGAGGCCCTGTAAAAAGCCGAGTCGAGCGCGCGAGCGCGAGCGAGTTACGCGTTTTCGGGTTCAAGTCTCGCGAGATATTAACGCGCGCGCATGCCGCGCGGAATTACTCTCGCGCCGTATCTCGACGTCGAGTTGGTGCGCGTTTCTATTCCCTTACACCCTATACATCTTCCCAAACACGTGCATATTTTTTCGCTTTATCCGCGATATGACCGGAAGCGAGTGTGCTTGTAAAAAAGCCGCGCCAGTCCGACGCGCACGGTCGGGCAATCTGCCTCCTTCAGCGTGGCCGGCGCAACCCCGTACGAGTGCACTCACACGTACGCCCCCTCCCCCCCCCCAGTCGCACCCACACGTGCGCGTTCCACTCGTAGAAAGAGAGAGAGAGAGAGAGAGAGAGAGAGAGAGAGAGAGAGAGCGAGAGAGCACTTGCTCCCCGGCGAGGGTTGCCGCCGTTGCAACGTTGAAATCTGCCCGAGTCGGCTCATTCCATCGCCGTAAACCACGAGCGGCGTAATACGCGCGGCGCGCTTCATCGGAATATAAAGCTAAACTGATATTCCCCGGCGCTGCTTCCCGCATATTCGGCCCGCGTACCCGGCTCCGTCGAGATTTACGACTCTACGTACGCTATATCCGGCAAATATTAAGGGCAGATAACGTATCACTTATCGAGGCTCGTGCACACACGGGCGCTTTCTCATCCCGTTCTTGTACCGAAAAGTTATCTCATCTCATAGCTAATCATCTTGTCTCATAGCTAACATCACGAATCGCGAGAGAGAGAGAGAGAGAGAGAGAGAGAGAGAGAGAGAGAGAGAGAAAAGCAGATGATATCCGGGACGCTTCGGCCGCGATGAGACGAAAGTCTCATGTCTGGAGTTCAACATCCCGCGAGCATTCAATCAAGTTTGCCGCTCTTCCGGGTCAGCGCGTCTGTCGGCGCGCCTGTCGACGCGCCTCGAGATATCGCCAGGCTTTCGCTCATTCACGTAAGAATGGCCAAGTTATAATTAGTGCGCGAAATCAACGAGTCTCTCCTCTCCTTAGCCGTTGTGGGAGGGCGACTCATCGAGCAGTTTGCGCTCGCGCCGCTCACGCGAGTTCTTTATTCTCTCGCCTTATTTACTTTCCATTCTTTAGCTCTTGTCTTTTTTCTTCGCCTCCCCTTGCGAATGGAGGTGTTACGCCGCGCCAGGAGCGCGGCGATTTGTTAATCCGCGATCGCCCGTGAGTGAAGGATTAAAGTCGAAGGGAGCGGATTATGCGGTAATGGAATTTCGATTTATGAAGGATAGCGAGTTATACGTAAACAAGCGGGCTTTAAACGTTTATCCTCGCTTCTGTTTACTACATGTACTTCCTCTTCTTCTATTTCTACTTCGCCCGCCTTCTTTATTCCGCCTCGTCGCCAAGACAATATTCTCCCTTAACACGGTTGTTATTTTAAAATTGCGTCGCGCCATCAGTTAAGCGCGGATAACGCGGCCCGTCTCGGCGAGATTAATAAAAATCCTCGTTGTCTACCGGACGGTAGATGACCTGTAATTTTTTTTTTCACGCCACGCGGCACAAAGAATGAAGGAGCTTAGTTAGCATGCATAGTATATTTATTCAAGAATTTTTCGCGCCCGTCCGGTCGACCCCGCGGGAAAAATATGGTCGCGTAATGGTGATTACGGCATAATATCTCTAAATTAATCTCTATAGAGATGAATCAACGTGGATCGTTTTCTCTTTTTCTTCCTCTTCTTTCTCTTTTCCTTATTTCTTTCTTTTTTTTATGGCTACGCGTTGAATCGACGTATTTACCGGCCAAGTCATTACCGTTACGTTCACGCGGTAATTAGAACCGTAATTGCGTGTGATTGAATGAAATAGCGGCGACGA